CCGGGCAGTATTTCGTTCTGTTGTACATAGTGTTGCTCTGAGTCCGAACCAACTAGATGGCACCTAACAGGAACAACAACAACAATAGGCATGTAGTCGTATCTTATTGTGGTTTTGATCTGCAATTCCCTAATGATATTTGGAAATTCCCTAGGTGTTGTAAACATTTTGCACTTGACTGCTACTCTAAAGGTTGGTGGCCCAAACCCACCCAGAGGTGCCATGGAAGAAAGGCCTGGCAATCTGCTTCCATTAAGATTACAGCCAAGAAACCCTATGGAGCAGTTCTACTCTGTAACACATGGGGTTGCCACAAGTGGGGATCGACTCTATGCAACAGGTTTGATTTAGTTTTGTTTTAGTGACATTTGATGCGGAACATCTTTTCATATGCTTATTTTCCATCTGTGTATCTTCTTTGGTGAGGTGCCTGTTCAAATCTTTTGTCCATTTTTTTTACTGGGTTATTTTCTTTTTATTGAGTTGCAAAATTTTTTTATATATTCTCAATACCAATCCCTTATTGGATATATGATTTGCAAATATTTTCTCCCATTCTGTGGATTGTCTTTTTATTTTCTCGATGGTATCATTTGCAACTCAAGAGTTTTTCATTTTGTGTAGCCAAATTGTTTTATCTCCTAGTCACTTGCATTCTTATTGTTTGCAGCTGGAATGCACAAGGGCAAAAACAAAAGTAAGCAATAGGAAGGGTGGTAGAAAGGGCAAGGAGGAAAGAGATAACTGTGGCAAAGCATGGAAGCAAACGCATGGGTGGGACAGGGAAGGAGAGATCAAAGGATGTGCCCCTTACTCACGGAGCACGTTCCCCGTGTCCCCACGATAGCTCCTATTTGCTGTGTTGTGCAACAGATGTGCTTCGCGACTAGAATCCTGTACCCCCTGCTACTACAGGCTCGGGGAGGGGTTATCACGGCAGTGGTTTTGCTTCCTGGTACTCCCGTGTCTAACTTTTCTGTGTTTTGTCTGAGGAAGGTAATGAAAATGTAAAAGGAATTTTTTAGGTCACTCTATAGTAAATAGGAAATCCTGGTAGTGTAGTGGTTAAGTGCTACGGCTGCTAATCAAAAGGTTGGCAGTTCGAATCCACCAGGCGCTCATTGGAAACCCTATGGGCAGTTGTACTCTGTCCTATAGGGTTGCTATGAGTCGGAATTAACTCCACGGCAATGGTTTTATAGAAAATACCACTGTTCAATGACCTGCAAAGACAGGTATTCTATTTCATTTATCTTTTCATCCTTCAGCACCTAATACTATATATGGCACACAGACTCCTAATGAATGTTTGGTCCATGAGTGATAGAGGTGGGAAACAATGGACAGGGCCAGGTTTTATTAGTTGCTGAAGATGTTTGAGTGCAAGGAGTCTCGGGCAGTCCGGGCTAGGAGAAAGTTGTCTCTGCTGAAAACAAGAGGAGCAACTAAATATCTTCGGATTCCCAGTGTATATAGCAGCTGATGGCTCCCGAATTAAATATGAAGATTCCGGAACCATCTGGCGAGTGAAGAAACCGGGCCGCTGCAGTATCTGAGCGGTGTTCGGAAGAGGAGGAGAAGGGAGAGCAGGAGGAGGCGGAGCCTCCTTGCCAGCATCTGCTAGTGGAGGTCGGGAAGCCTCTCCTCCAACCCCCTCCCTTGTTGCCTCCACCTGGCTCCTCCCCGAGTTCGCAAAGCTCCCCTCCCCTCGTCCCCAAGGACAGTTTGCAAGGAAGCGGCTGCGGAGGAGAGCTAAAGACTAAAAGACAAGAGGGCCCCGGTGTAAAGAACGAGGAGGAAAATACTGAGAGCGAGGTGGGAATGAAAGCGCGGGGGTGAGGCGGGGTTGGGGAGAACCACGAAGAGCACAAAGGAAAGAAGAGATAATACGGCATCAGAGCCGAGAGGGGGATGGGTAGGGCTGTCGTGAAGCATTCCAGCCCTTTGGCGAGCCTCCCTCTACTTGTCTTGCACAGCATGACAAGGGATGCAGTGGGGTAGTGCGCGGACTCCGATGCCCTTGGCTGCCTGACCCCAACACTGGCGCTCAGCAAATTCAAATTAGTGCACTGCAGATGCTGCCTCTCTGTATTTCTCCCTCCCACATCTGACTATATAT